AGCCTATCTGTCCTATATATAACAAATGCCGGTTATACCAGACGCGGCCCTACTGTCCAGAGGTGATGTAGAAGCCTATCTGTCCTATATATAACATATGCCGGTTATACCAGACGCGGCCCAACTGTCCAGAGGTGATGTAGAAGCCTATCTGTCCTATATATAACATATGCCGGTTATACCAGACGCGGCCCAACTGTCCAGATGTGATGTAGAAGCCTATCTGTCCTATATATAACAAATGCCGGTTATATCAGACGCGGCCCAACTGTCCAGAGGTGATGTAGAAGCCTATCTGTCCTATATATAACATATGCCGGTTATACCAGACGCGGCCCAACTGTCCAGAGGGATGTAGAAGCCTATCTGTCCTATATATAACAAATGCCGGTTATACCAGACGCGGCCCTACTGTCCAGAGGTGATGTAGAAGCCTATCTGTCCTATATATAACATATGCCGGTTATACCAGACGCGGCCCAACTGTCCAGAGGTGATGTAGAAGCCTATCTGTCCTATATATAACAAATGCCGGTTATATCAGACGCGGCCCAACTGTCCAGAGGTGATGTAGAAGCCTATGTGTCCTATATATAACAAATGCCGGATATACCAGACGCGGCCCAACTGTCCAGAGGTGATGTAGAAGCCTATCTGTCCTATATATAACATATGCCGGTTACACTAGACGCGGCCCAACTGTCCAGAGGTGATGTAGAAGCCTATCTGTCCTATATAAACATATGCCGGTTATACTAGACGCGGCCCAACTGTCCAGAGGTGATGTAGAAGCCTATCTGTCCTATATATAACAAATGCCGGTTATACCAGACGCGGCCCAACTGTCCAGAGGTGATGTAGAAGCCTATGTGTCCTATATATAACAAATGCCGGATATACCAGACGCGGCCCAACTGTCCAGAGGTGATGTAGAAGCCTATCTGTCCTATATATAACAAATGCCGGTTATACCAGACGCGGCCCTACTGTCCAGAGGTGATGTAGAAGCCTATCTGTCCTATATATAACATATGCCGGTTATACCAGACGCGGCCCAACTGTCCAGAGGTGATGTAGAAGCCTATCTGTCCTATATATAACAAATGCCGGTTATACCAGACGCGGCCCTACTGTCCAGAGGTGATGTAGAAGCCTATCTGTCCTATATATAACAAATGCCGGTTATATCAGACGCGGCCCAACTGTCCAGAGGTGATGTAGAAGCCTATGTGTCCTATATATAACAAATGCCGGATATACCAGACGCGGCCCAACTGTCCAGAGGTGATGTAGAAGCCTATCTGTCCTATATATAACATATGCCGGTTACACTAGACGCGGCCCAACTGTCCAGAGGTGATGTAGAAGCCTATCTGTCCTATATATAACATATGCCGGTTATACTAGACGCGGCCCAACTGTCCAGAGGTGATGTAGAAGCCTATCTGTCCTATATATAACAAATGCCGGTTATACCAGACGCGGCCCAACTGTCCAGAGGTGATGTAGAAGCCTATGTGTCCTATATATAACAAATGCCGGATATACCAGACGCGGCCCAACTGTCCAGAGGTGATGTAGAAGCCTATCTGTCCTATATATAAGATATGCCGGTTATACTAGACGCGGCCCAACTGTCCAGAGGTGATGTAGAAGCCTATCTGTCCTATATATAACATATGCCGGTTATACTAGACGCGGCCCAACTGTCCAGAGGTGATGTAGAAGCCTATCTGTCCTATATATAACAAATGCCGGTTATATCAGACGCGGCCCAACTGTCCAGATGTGATGTAGAAGCCTATCTGTCCTATATATAACAAATGCCGGTTATATCAGACGCGGCCCAACTGTCAGAGGTGATGTAGAAGCCTATCTGTCCTATATATAACAAATGCCGGTTATACCAGACGCGGCCCAACTGTCCAGAGGTGATGTAGAAGCCTATCTGTCCTATATATAACATATGCCGGTTATACCAGACGCGGCCCAACTGTCCAGAGGTGTTGTAGAAGCCTATCTGTCCTATATATAACATATGCCGGTTATACCAGACGCGGCCCAACTGTCCAGAGGTGATGTAGAAGCCTATCTGTCCTATATATAACAAATGCCGGTTATACCAGACGCGGCCCTACTGTCCAGAGGTGATGTAGAAGCCTATCTGTCCTATATATAACATATGCCGGTTATACCAGACGCGGCCCAACTGTCAGAGGTGATGTAGAAGCCTATCTGTCCTATATATAACAAATGCCGGTTATACCAGACGCGGCCCTACTGTCCAGAGGTGATGTAGAAGCCTATCTGTCCTATATATAACAAATGCCGGTTATATCAGACGCGGCCCAACTGTCCAGATGTGATGTAGAAGCCTATCTGTCCTATATATAACAAATGCCGGTTATACCAGACGCGGCCCAACTGTCCAGAGGTGATGTAGAAGCCTATCTGTCCTATATATAACAAATGCCGGTTATATCAGACGCGGCCCAACTGTCCAGAGGTGATGTAGAAGCCTATGTGTCCTATATATAACATATGCCGGATATACCAGACGCGGCCCAACTGTCCAGAGGTGATGTAGAAGCCTATCTGTCCTATATATAACATATGCCGGTTATACTAGACGCGGCCCAACTGTCCAGAGGTGATGTAGAAGCCTATCTGTCCTATATATAACATATGCCGGTTATACCAGACGCGGCCCAACTGTCCAGAGGTGATGTAGAAGCCTATGTGTCCTATATATAACAAATGCCGGATATACCAGACGCGGCCCAACTGTCAGAGGTGATGTAGAAGCCTATCTGTCCTATATATAACATATGCCGGTTATACTAGACGCTACCCAACTGTCAGAGAGGTGATGTAGAAGCCTATCTGTCCTATATATAACATATGCCGGTTATACTAGACGCGGCCCAACTGTCCAGAGGTGATGTAGAAGCCTATCTGTCCTATATATAACAAATGCCGGTTATACCAGACGCGGCCCAACTGTCGAGAGGTGATGTAGAAGCCTATGTGTCCTATATATAACAAATGCCGGATATACCAGACGCGGCCCAACTGTCCAGAGGTGATGTAGAAGCCTATCTGTCCTATATATAAGATATGCCGGTTATACTAGACGCGGCCCAACTGTCCAGAGGTGATGTAGAAGCCTATCTGTCCTATATATAACATATGCCGGTTATACTAGACGCGGCCCAACTGTCCAGAGGTGATGTAGAAGCCTATCTGTCCTATATATAACAAATGCCGGTTATATCAGACGCGGCCCAACTGTCCAGATGTGATGTAGAAGCCTATCTGTCCTATATATAACAAATGCCGGTTATATCAGACGCGGCCCAACTGTCCAGAGGTGATGTAGAAGCCTATCTGTCCTATATATAACAAATGCCGGTTATACCAGACGCGGCCCAACTGTCCAGAGGTGATGTAGAAGCCTATCTGTCCTATATATAACAAATGCCGGTTATATCAGACGCGGCCCAACTGTCCAGAGGTGATGTAGAAGCCTATCTGTCCTATATATAACAAATGCCGGTTATACCAGAGGCGGCCCAACTGTCCAGATGTGATGTAGAAGCCTATCTGTCCTATATATAACAATGCCGGTTATACCAGACGCGGCCCAACTGTCCAGATGTTATGTAGAAGCCTATCTGTCCTATATATAACATATGCCGGTTATATCAGACGCGGCCCAACTGTCCAGAGGTGATGTAGAAGCCTATCTGTCCTATATATAACAAATGCCGGTTATATCAGACGCGGCCCAACTGTCCAGAGGTGATGTAGAAGCCTATCTGTCCTATATATAACAAATGCCGGTTATATCAGACGCGGCCCAACTGTCCAGAGGTGATGTAGAAGCCTATCTGTCCTATATATAACATATGCCGGTTATATCAGACGCGGCCCAACTGTCCAGAGGTGATGTAGAAGCCTATCTGTCCTATATATAACAAATGCCGGTTATACCAGACGCGGCCCAACTGTCCAGAGGTGATGTAGAAGCCTATCTGTCCTATATATAACAATGCCGGTTATACCAGACGCGGCCCAACTGTCCAGAGGTGATGTAGAAGCCTATCTGTCCTATATATAACATATGCCGGTTATACTAGACGCGGCCCAACTGTCCACAGGTGATGTAGAAGCCTATCTGTCCTATATATAACAAATGCCGGTTATACCAGACGCGGCCCAACTGTCCAGAGGTGATGTAGAAGCCTATCTGTCCTATATATAACAAATGCCGGTTATATCAGACGCGGCCCAACTGTCCAGAGGTGATGTAGAAGCCTATCTGTCCTATATATAACAAATGCCGGTTATACCAGAGGCGGCCCAACTGTCCAGATGTGATGTAGAAGCCTATCTGTCCTATATATAACAATGCCGGTTATACCAGACGCGGCCCAACTGTCCAGATGTTATGTAGAAGCCTATCTGTCCTATATATAACATATGCCGGTTATATCAGACGCGGCCCAACTGTCCAGAGGTGATGTAGAAGCCTATCTGTCCTATATATAACAAATGCCGGTTATATCAGACGCGGCCCAACTGTCCAGAGGTGATGTAGAAGCCTATCTGTCCTATATATAACAAATGCCGGTTATATCAGACGCGGCCCAACTGTCCAGAGGTGATGTAGAAGCCTATCTGTCCTATATATAACATATGCCGGTTATATCAGACGCGGCCCAACTGTCCAGAGGTGATGTAGAAGCCTATCTGTCCTATATATAACAAATGCCGGTTATACCAGACGCGGCCCAACTGTCCAGAGGTGATGTAGAAGCCTATCTGTCCTATATATAACAATGCCGGTTATACCAGACGCGGCCCAACTGTCCAGAGGTGATGTAGAAGCCTATCTGTCCTATATATAACATATGCCGGTTATACTAGACGCGGCCCAACTGTCCAGAGGTGATGTAGAAGCCTATCCTCCTATATATAACAAATGCCGGTTATATCAGACGCGGCCCAACTGTCCAGATGTGATGACGATGCTGAGTCGGGTGCTGGACCACAATGCTAGGGTGGAGGACAAGATCGTGACATCTGTGGAATTTGAGAACCCACATCGCCCACATCATGGTATGTTTGTTTCTCCTGTAACTACACAGTCAACTACTGATGTGTCGAACTTGCGGTTGTCTTGAGGTAAAGGCTTAGTCCTTGCGTATTAGTCATCATTGTGTCGTTCCTCGGATAACTCGAAAATGCCTTCTGTCTTGAGGTAAAGGTTTAGTCCTTGCGTATTGGTCCTAATTAGTCATCCTTGTGTCGATCCTCGGATAACTCGAAGGTTCCTTCTGTCTTGAGGTAAAGGCTTAGTCCTTGCGTATTGGTCCTAAGTAGTCATCATTGTGTCGATCCTCGGATAACTCGAAGGTCCCTTCTGTCTTGAGGTGAGGCTTAGTCCTTGCGTACTGGTCTTAATTAGTCATCATTGTGTCGATCCTCGTATAACTCGAAGGTCCCTTCAACTTCGACACAAGAGTGTTTGTATGTGATTGGGACCTGGAGATAAACGGTTCTGGATAGAGATTTCTGGTATGTGCAGTTAACTCAGTCATCGAACCCGATCTATTAAACCGCGTGTTATGGCACACATATGTTGCTGGAGACCAACACTAACCCAGAATCCATTGACTAATACATACACAAGTGAGTCGAATAATCCAGACACAAACATCCCAGGTGATCTGACGGTATGGAGTCAAAATATCATCTCTCATGTTGCATGTTTACACCATTATTTTCCTGTACACACTGCATATCACTTTAGATAATACATTGTAGTAAGTTATGTTTTTAATATTAGGTATCTTTTGGCCTATCAATAGAATAAAACGTGATGTTCTCAAGGAAGCAGCGAGGTCGAGGTCTCTGTACTGTTTAACACAGTAAAGCCATCAATGACTGCAGATCTTAAGGTGTCAGTTCAAATCGAAATGAATGATTGACATGTCTTCGGCGTGACGAGCGAACGCTGTAGCCATTAGGCTACCCCACTGCCCTTGTCTCACATTGACCACATGGACTGTCAAGCATTGGGACGGGTTGGAGGCCTGAACGTTAAAGCGTTGGCTCGTTTGATTCCCATAGGAACTCTGAACCAAATGGTTGTTGTTCCCGCAGTGACATCGCTGGAATATTGCTAATTGCGACATTAACCACGAAGCATTCAACCACTTACAAATCAATGAAATTTGTTATACATTATAATGATACAATAATGTTTTTTGTTACTTTGTAGGGAGGTTACCTATTTCTACCAATGAATGTTTTCAGATGTTCTGTTCAACATGGCGGACTATATGTTCGTCAGCAAGGAGTTTGCCCAGCATTACGGCTACACGAACATGGAGGAAGCAGTGGAGGGTCTCACACATACATGTCAACCAAGGTATGTCTCTCTCAGAACCACATCCCTTACCATATGTTTTTTGTTATTCCAGAAACACATTGAATGACACCATCGAACGATACCCAACGGCTGGACGACCGCTCATAATAGCTGACCTGAATAAGTATCACTTGAATTCACTTCATGCACTCCGCACAGGTGTTAACGAAGGATGGCTGAAAAGGCATGAGCGTCTGTGTGATGGATGACGTTAGCTGTTAGGTAAATACTATTTCACATAATCGACCCACTGGTCCACACACTTCTGTCGACGATGCTGTGCCTCGATCTCACTGGGTAGGACGTATCCCCTGGTGGTGCAAAGAGTCACTAACAGTATGAGACAGCATCATCATCAGTTGCATAATGCGTACTAGACAGTCATTTCTGCATGACTGGGAAAGAGTGGAAATCTGGCGGTTCCAAATCTGGCAAGAGATTGAGCACTGTTTTACAGCAATATTCCAGCAATATATATATAGCGGCGGCGGCCATCAGAAAAATAATGACGTTCACGTATTGTACTGGAACCGAACCCGTGATGAGCGAACGCTTTAACTACCAGGCTGCCGGGCCGCCACGCCAAAATTTTGAACACGGAGGATTAACAATTATATCATAGCTACAGTCAAGGATTGTAGTCATGACTACGACGGTCTTTTCACAGCGACATCGTCCTGGTGGAACATACTCTCCGTGAGTTTTCCACAAGATTAAACCTTGCGGTTCCATGTCAGGAGACCAACCTATCACCTTGCCATCTGATGAAACAAGTCTTGCTTTCTTCAAAAGAGATTTAGGTTTACACTACTTTGATTGTTGCTGCTTGAACGTAATATACCACTGTTCATGGCTACAAATCTCTCACCAAACACAGCAGAGTCAGCCTCGACAACAAGTAAATTCATACCAGAGATGATGAACGTGTCACCATGGCGCAACGCGGTTCATTATATCAGTGGTATCATTATCAAACTTGCATTCTTTGGAGGTTACTGTTTGTGCTGTACACAAGTAGTCTCAGCTCCAGACAGTATGGGATAGACATATTTAATTTTGGAGCAAATTCTGAAACTTACTTTAAGATTAAAAATCCTTTTTGGCGTGATGTGCTAAAAGCATGGCAACTATTCCACAAAAAACATTATATTGACCCTAATAATATTAATGAAATTCTATCCCAACCATTATGGTATAATCATAATTTTAAAAATTCATTAAACTTCATAAAGAACCGGGCAGATAAAGGGATTATAAATATTAGGGATATTGTAATGAAACTGGATTATTGTCAATAGAATCTTTAAAAGAAATATATGGTATCAAAGGCACTTTTTTAGATTATAAATATTTACTACATGTATTACCTGACTCTTGGAAAAATACTCTTAACCACTATCATTTAATACCAGTCAGGGATTTAAATATTAACCAATGCCAGATATATCTAGTAAAAACATCTAAAGGCTGCAGGAATTTTTATGATAAACTTATTTCCAATGATATACACCCAAATATGTGTAATAAATGGCAGCTGCTATTTCCTGAAATAGACTTTGATTGGAAAAATATATTTACAGCATAAAGAAAAGGATTGCAAGACACAAAACTTTTAGATTTTCAATATAGATTTCTACAAGGAGTTATTTATACAAAAAGAGAGAATTGCTTAAGATGAAAAAAAGGTTGATAGCAGTCTATGTTGTTTCTGCAATGATTTAAATGAGAGTGTTTGTCATGTGTACTGGGAATGTCAGGAGACACAAACTTTTTGGAAAAACCTACAAATTTGGCTTAACAATTTATACCCTCATCCATTGCTATTATCAAAACATATGGTTTGGTTTGGTACTCTACATCATAATATATTACTAAATCACATCATCATTGCAGCAAAAAGACACATTTACGTATGCAGTATTAAAAATACGCATCCAAACATAACTCTATTTATAAAAACTTTGAAAGAAATATTCTTTGTGGAAAACCATATATGCAGAAGAAATAGTAAAATAGAAGATTTCAATCATAAATGGGGTCTTCTCTTCCCAGTACTTTGATGAATTTATAATGTATCCAATTTACCTGAGGTCATATTTCTCTTTTATTGACTTATATATGTGTATTAACATGATATTGACATAATACCTGTACATCATCCATCTGTCTGTACATCACTGTTCTACATACGACATTGTAATCCTGGGAACCAATAACAACACAAAAGTATGGGATAGACCACCATGCATATGCTGACGACACCCAGCTGTATCTAGGTTTCAAAGCAAGCGAAGCAGTCGATGTACTTGCAAGAACTACTGATTGCACTAAATCAATAAACACATGGATGACATCAAACAGATTAAAACGTAATGATGGAACAAATGAGGCCTTACTTGTTGGATCCAGACAGCGCATTCAACAGTTGAATATCACGTCAGTGGCTGTTGGAGACTCAGTCATACCATTCGCTGACAAAGCAAAGAATCTGGGTGTCATCTTTGATTCTCCCTTGTCAATTGAAGCCCAAGTTAATCAAGTGTGCCAAACCTGCTACTACCATCTAAGAAGTATTGGTAATATCCGCCATCTTATTACCAAAGACGTCACAAAGACACTAGTCCAACAACTCGTGATGTCCCGCATTGACTACAGCAACAGTGTGTTGTATGGTTTGAGTCAGGATCTGCTGAACAAACTCCAGAAGGTACAAAATAGGGCAGCTCGTATTGTGAGTCGTGCACCAAACCGATGCCACATAACACCGGTATTGATGTCCCTACACTGGCTACGAATAGAAGCCCGGATCCACTTCAAGATCTTGTGTTTTGCCTACTACTGTTTGAAAGGTACAGCATCGAGCTATCTATCAGAACTGATCTCACCATACCAGCCTTCAAAGGTCTATGGTCTGAAAACCAACGCCTACTTGCAGTACCAAACTCAAGACTAAAATCCTACGGCAACAGATCGTTTCAAGTAGCAGCACCTCAGTTATGGACCTCACTACCTCAGAACATTAAAGAATCCCCCACCCTTGAGACATTCAAAACCCACCTAAAAACCTTTCTCTTCAGAAAGTTCTATCCCAACGAACTATCTCCTCCCGTGAACTTCTCATCTGTGACTATTGTAGCGCCTTGAGCATGCACCTTTGTGGATGGAACCCAGCGCAATATAAATAGACATTATTATTATTATTATGTTTTACACATTAAAGATGAAAATGCAGCAGAGAGGGTTCGGGTGATCATGGCACAGTCAGGCTGGTAAGGCTCATCATCAGCTCAGGGCCCTTGCCCCCTCTACACGCAGCCCAGACAGCGAATGGGACTTCTCCAAAGAAACACTGCCTAGTCGAACCCACCAAGAACTTTCCGGAGAATATAAAGGCTACCCAAGACTGCAGCCTTCTCCTGATCTGCGCCAAGAGATCAGGAGGTACCACACCAAGGGCACCGAGAACAATGGGGAGCCTGACCACAATGTACTTGGGATGCAAGCGAGACATTTCAAAGGCGAGGTCCGCATAATGATCATGCTTTTCCTGAATCTCGCCAATCACGTTGCTGTCAAAAGGGACAGAAAATTCAATGATATAAATAAATTCATTGGCTTTATCAAAAAGGACAAGATCAGGTTTGTTGGCAGGAATTCTTCTGAGGCTGTATATGGGCCTGTTCCACAGAAGTTTGAAAGCATCATTTTCCATGACGCCCTGGACATGTTTAGGGTCGTACCATGGATGGGATACACAAGTTTATATACAAGATACATGTAAATATGGTGTACTCCGTCATTCCTCCATATGCTTGAACACGGTATAAGAAGCTGTACCGAAACGTCGCTATTGTGAATATAAAGAAGTTGATCATCCATAAAGTTTTGTCATCTCCAAGTCAGGATTGTTTTCATCACATGCCGATCCAAATGACACATTAAGCTGATCACTAAAATCCTCAACTCTGGTTTGTTATTCTGAGGTATCGACCTCATTTGTAACTATCCAAATCCGTAAACCGGATAAATGTTTGGCCTAAATGATGTGTGTTAAAAAAAGGTGTTACCAGGATACACACTCTTTGTTTCAGAATAGCCATCATATGTGCGTGGGGCGAATGTGGGGCTGCTGGCAAACAGTCCACGTCAGAAACAGTTACCTCCCCTGCTCTGAAGCTTGACCATGTGGTGGACACACTAGGAGCTGGGGACACTTTCATTGCCGGGACACTGCACGCGCTGGCTAAAGGACGGTGTTTGAAGTCCGCTATAGCATTTGGATGTAAGCTCTCTGGATTCAAATGTGGCATGCGTGGATTAAAAGGAATCGAACATTTGAAAAACAGTTCCCCCGTGTTAAGTATCTTAAAATGAACGATGTGTTATACATGTATGTAATAGATTATGTAATCTGGTGGTTAATCTTTCATTGTTGTACACATGTGGGAATTTTGCTTTTACAATTAAACTCCACTGGTATCTCCTGTAAACTAGTTGACCATAACCTCGTGTACAGTGTAAATCATGAAATTAAGGAGTGAGTGAGTTTAGTTTTACGCCGCACTCAGCAATATTCCAGCTATATGGCGGCGGTCTGTAAATAATCGAGTCTGGACCAGACAATGCAGCATGGGCATCAATCTGCGCCATTGGGAACCGAGGACATGTGTCAACCAAGTCTGCGAGCCTGACCACCCGATCCTGTTAGTCGCCTCTTACAAGCATGGGTTACTGAAGATCAATTTTCTAACCCGGACCTTTACGGGTTTGAAAGTATGGAAGCAGGAGATGGTGCGACAAATGTGACGGATATTAGCTGGCCATTCGTCACCACTCGCCCCTTTCCGTAACCTCCAAGAAGACTCGTCCCCCTCTCGATACTTGTTATGTGCGAAAATACGACAAACCAATCAGAACGCGCGTAAATGAGCGCGGTGCTTTGATAAAAGTAATCCCGAGTACTTAAATCGTTTATGGCATTATGTCATTGTTTAAAGAATCATGAAAAATATATATCGTCATATTGAAAGTACAAATAACGTAGCTAAAAGGATTTTGCTGGCTATTATGAACTGTTTGATTGGCATTTAGAAGTTGGTGACTAATAAGAAAGTAAGAAAGTTTATGGATAACAACTTCTTTATTATATATGATGCGACGTTTCGGTATGGATTCTTATACCGTTGTCAAGCAAGAGTGAAGTACTATACAGAAGAAGAAGAAGAAATATAGTTTATTAATGTGTCACATGCTGCAGAACATTAAAAAGGACGGTACATTATTGCGAGAGTTTAAAAGCAGCATCCGGCCATAAGGCCTATGAGACACAAATATCACAGTTGTATAAAACATTAGTAATAAAATCACACCCACACATACACACACGCAGGCCGAACTGTATACACAAACACAAAACGCATACACCTTCACACACCCACACGCACGCACACATACACATACACACGAGCGCACGAGCCTACAGACAGACACCTACGACAGACAGACCCACATACACGCGCACGCACGCACGCACACACACTTACACTTTCTTACCTAAAATGCATAAATTACATAAATAACAAACATGTTGACCTTATTATTATAAGTACATTGTAGAGTTACCTATTCTACAGAAATATTCCGGCGCCTAAACATAGTATGGACGAGTGCGGCAAGGGGCTTTACGAACTGGTTATTTGTAAGTAAGAATACCATTTTATCTACTGCTGACATAGATGAGAATGTAGGATGGACACTGGTTATTTCCTTCCAAAGATTATATCTGAGATCTGAATAATAATCACAGTTAACCAGAAAATGTAATTCATCTTCAACGGCATTGCTACTACAGCGAGTACACACCCTTTCATGAAGGGGAGACTTCGGACGAGAATATCTACCCAATTCTACCTCTAATGGCAAAGTGCCACAACGGAATTTACTCAAGATACTACGATGTGACCTAGGTAGAATTGTTTCAACATAATGTTCAACTTGTAAAAATCTTTAAAAGACGATAAGTACGTAATTTATTTCCGTTGTCCTGCCCTTTATCATTCCAGAGCCCAGAAAACCAATCAAAACTGTCTAGTGTCTTAAGGTGTTCTTTAGCCGCAACAAACTCCTCATGTGAAATACTAAACAGATCATTTATAGGTAAATGAAAACTAATTAATAATTTATGAGCTCCACTATACCAAGATCTCCTCCAATTAAATGACCATCTGCTAATAACGCTGGGTATTCTGCTAAATTCAAGTAACTGCAGTTTACGCCAAAGACGAAGAACCTCAATTTTTTTGTTTGGTATACTGAGAAACCCAGCCCATTTCGCCACGAACTGCTAAATTTGGAGTTTTTCTAGCGACGGCTAAGAAGAATCTGGCTGCCCGATGTTGAACTGCATTAATACAGCTATACTGCCGTGTTCCCCAAATAGCGGCTCCATATGAAAGAATATGCTGAACAAGATTATCATATAACTTATTATAAACTTTATAATCCATACCGCCAACTGCCTTAAACTTACAAAAAAATCACACCCAAAGCTCTATTAGCAGACTTAGCTATTTCCTTAGCAGTAACATTTAAATCAAGATTCTCATGCAGCCACAGACCCAAGTACTTGTAAGCACAACAGTAGGTAATGACCTCACCACCCAATGAAAATACAAACTCTGAGCGTTTAACAGAACAAGGACGGTAATGTACAACTTTAGTCTTATTGAAATTAACCAAGATCCTCCAACGTGAACACCATCCAGCAACACAGTCTAGCATACGCTGTAAGGACTGCTCATCAGGTGCTATCAAAGCAACGTCATCAGCATAAAACAATGAACTCAACACAACTCCATCAATATTTATGCCACAATGTAAACTGTCTATTTCACTGGCTAGATCATTAATATAAACTGAAAAAAGTGTCGGCGACAAAACACAGCCTTGTCGTACACCCGAGTTTACATCAAACACTTCAGTGAAGCTATCATTAATACGAACTCGTGACAAAGTGCCCTCGTACATCGACTGGACTGTATAGAGAAACTTACCATTAATACCCAATTTCAACAATTTATACCGTAAACAATTACGATTAACCTTATCAAAAGCTTTCATGGCATCAATTAAACAAACAAACGTAGATTGTTTAGATAACTTTCTGTTATTAACAATGGAGAAGAGGCTATATAAATGTTCATGTGTACTGCGCGAAGAACGGAATCCATTTTGGACTTCAGTCAATAAACCATTAGCTTCTAGCCACTTGCTAAGGCGCATATTTAAAATGTCTGAATAAATTTTGCAAGGCACACATAATAGCGAAATGCCTCTATATCCCAGAGGATCACGTGCATCACCGTCCGTTTTCTTGATTGTATAGATGATGCTGTTTTGCCAGAGTTCGGGACACACACCATTTTCAAAACAAAAGGTCATCAAGGTAAAAAGAAGTTGTATGCACGTATTATTTTTAAGAAACTCAGCTGGGAGCAGGTCAATACCAGCAGACTTTCCACGTTTAGCGCGTGCCACCGCGCACTCGACTTCTTGGAAAGTGATCGGCGAATTGAGAACAGTTGTGTCATACGTTACATCACATGTCACATGACCATTGTTGATTTCATCCCGGATGTTTTGATAGTGAATGTCATCGTGATTCGGCGATGGTGAGTCAGCAAAAAGAGAGGAATAGTCTTGTTTCCATTTGTCCAGAACAACTGTTTTATCCGTACAAAGATTGCCATTTAGCTCCATCTCCCAGGGAATCAAAGTAGTCCTGTCGTTGGCGATACCAAGTTTACCGATCTTTCTCCAGAAACTCCGGGAATCATTGTCATTGCACTTATCTAGTAGTTTCTGTTGTTCAGATAACTGATGTGCACGCTTATGTTTTCGTAATAGTTTGTCAAAACATTTTCTCTCCACAACATACAATTCCCTGAGGTATTTACGCCTTCTGGTACATTTACAAGATAAAAAGTTCTTCTCAAACTCACATGCCTTATCCCATTGAAGCTGCACTATACAGCACAGAACAGACTTATATACATGAACAGGGATTAAGTAATAACAACATGTAGGAATGAATCAGGGGGGATTAACAACAACAACAAGGCACGGTGGCAATAATGTAGTGACAATAGGAGGAAGCCAATGGTGGTGGAGGTAGAAACAAAATAGCCAGCAAAATCCTTTTAGCTACGTTATTTGTACTTTCAATATGACGATATATATTTTTCATGATTCTTTAAACAATGACATAATGCCATAAACGATTTAAGTACTCGGGATTATTTTTATCAAAGCACCGCGCTCATTTACGCGCGTTCTGATTGGTTTGTCGTATTTTCGCACATAACAAGTATCGAGTGGGGGACGAGACTTCTTGGAGGTTACGGAAAGGGGGGAGTGGTGACGAATGGGGTCCAACTGAGTGTATTTGTGATAGTAAATATAGCTTGCGGGCTTGTTATGGAGATTGCAGTTCCTAAAATTGGTCGAAGCGCACGTACAATTATAATCGCTACGAGTTTCAAAACAATAATATCGTATTTGAGATTCAAATACACGGACGTGCGTTTGTTGACATAACGGCTCTCATGGGTCCAACTGAGTGTATTTCTGACGAGCTTGCGGGCTTGTTATGGAGATTGTACGTGCGCTTCGACCAATTTTAGGAACTGCAATTATAATCGCTACGAGTTTCAAAGCAATAATATCGTATTTGTATGTAACTAATCAACCTTAATCTTTAACATTGGGCCTATATTTCATAGCTCTGGGGCTATTTTACTCTGACTGTTTTGGTCATTCATATTGTTTTCAGCGAATCCATGTGAAATTCCACCTGGGGTGTGACAGCAAGGTTACACGAATGTTCAGTTTGAGAAATATTTCAAAGTCATTTTTGAGTATCTGCTTTGGGATTTAATGTAGCTGAAAAAATATTATTTTATTTGTATATTCAATTAAACAATTTCCATTCGTGATTATTAAACCCTATTTAGAAAATTGGAAATATAAGGTGAACAGCCGGTAATTACATAAGAATATGTCTTTCACAAATATGTTTTTCTCCTTCATTTAGTTGTATCAAAGAGGTTTAATTCTGTAAAATAGATAAGAAAAAAACCCCAGAACAACAACCTAGCAATGAACATGTATTTCGGTGATGTTAAGAAACATTGGTATCAAACAGGCATAGAGTTATCGTTCTTGTTTAAAGTAGTTCTGATGTTCATGAGCCAATATGAAATCCTTCGAGAGGGACACGAGTCGCTATTCGGCTTGTCCCGGAATAACACGAGTGGGTCACGAATGATTAGCTGGCATGAATACAATTTTATTGTGGATTTCGCTACAAGCATTCGCTGCCACTATCACAAAATATTTACGGGTTGAACTTGGGATCAATGACTCACTACGTTAGTGTTTGAATGTAAAATCAAAATAGGCTGTATTTGTTTTGCTACTCATGCT